TTTTAACTTATGTTCACTAAGGTTTTTTTATTCAGTATAGTGTGTACTATCTACTATATAAATGCTAAATGGTTTTTTAACATCCTGTATACTTTATATTTAATCTGTGTGAAATAAAGGTACAATTCTTACTCTGAAATTTATTTATTTACTTAATATTGTTTTATTTTTATAAATAAAAATTTAAAATGATTATCGTAATAGACAAGAGATAGTAAATTAATTTCTAGCTTCTTATAATATTGAAAAAGAGATAAATTTGCTGTTTAAATATTATTAACATTAATAAATGAAATGTAACAGCTATCGACATTAAATTAAGTTTCAATTTTAATTATGAAAGTTTTCAATTATTAAAATATTTTTGAAAGAATATTATTTTTAATTTAAATTAATAAAAATACAATATTTTTGCTTTAAAATAATTAGTAAATATAAATGTGGTATTATATACGTATAGTATATTATACACTTTATTATAAATATGGTATTGCAATTTGTTCTTCCCTGCTTAAATATTGCTAACAACAAAACTGTCATCAAAATTTCGTTTCTTAAAAAAAATTAATTTTAATTAAAAATAAAAGTTACTTAAAAAAAGAAATAAGTTTTTAATTATATTGGCACGCAACATTTAGAGAAGGGTTCTATTGTATTCTATCGTATTTGTATGTCAATTAAAATACGTATGTTAATTATATTAAAAATCTTATTGATAAAATGCAAGAATAAACTTGCAGTTGTGAATAAAAAAAAACTAATTCGAAAATTACAACTAATTTTCAGCTCTTTTTATATGATACATATATGACTCATTTTTTTCTTAATTTTTATCTTTTTCCATTTTCAAAATTTTCTATATAAATATACGTATTTAAAAAAATTTTTTTCGTATTTTTTTTATATTTGTCTGGTTTTACATTAACTTATTTGAACGAAAAATAAGCTTAGAAGAGACATGCAAATTATTTCTATGCAAGTAGACGGAATATTTCTATCTTTTTAGATTGAGCAAATTTCTTATTGTACGACGTTACTTCGAACGTTAAAGACAGCCAGGATATAAAAAGGTGCGTGGGAAAAGAAGGAAATTTGATATTCATGAAGCATTTTAAAGTCGTGGTGTCCCAGAAATGGGCATGAAATGTAGTACGGACTGTTAAGCGGGGGAAAGATTGGTAAAGGTAGAAACCTATTTAGATGCGAGTCCATGATTTGCACCCATTTCACATAAACCTTTCTCTTTCTCTCTTCCTCTCTCTTTTTCGCAGCGCTTAAGATCGATCGAAGAATAACATCATTTCGTAGCAAATCTAAATTATAGCCGTACATTTTTAAGCAATATAAAATACTCGACGCTAAATTATATATTTAACAAAAGAGCAATAAAGATTAAAGTCTTTTTCTCAAAAATAACTTACAATTAGCATTATATAATTGTAAAATGATTATATCGGAAAAATGTAAAATTACTTATGTTTAAAAAAACATTTGGTGTTATTAATTACATATAATATGTGATAATATAATTATTTTAATCATAGAAAATGTGGAAATAAATTATTAATACTAAATTTATGTATTGATATTTTTATTATAAGTATGTACGATCTTAAATAGTAGGAGAGAGCAGAACTCGTTGGCACAAGCTACTCAGGTTGGCATTGCGTTTTGTTTATGTATTTGTATGGCAAAAGAAATAAAATGGAAAAAATATCGTTAAATTTCTGTTTTATAACTGTTATATATTATACTACTGTTTCTTACGTTTTATTTAAATCAAACAAATATACCAATAAAAAGAAAAAATTTGATTCAAGAGGAGGCAAGTATATTTTCGAGCGATTTAAAATTTTGTATGAATGTTCTTCAGTTTGAGAAAATAAATCTTAGTGGTGTATTATCAGTTAAAGAAAAGTTTCTATTACTATTAGACATTATTTTGAGTAGAGATGCGCACGAGACGAGACAAGACGAGATTTCTGCGATCTCGATCTCAATCTCGAAAAATCTTGAAATATTTATATTGATCTCGGATTTTCAAGAATCTCGAATATATGATCTTGATC